TTATCCATCTTCCAAAAGTACTTTTATTAAAGCATTTCTTGGCTTTTTTATGTTACAAGCATTATTTTTGCACACTTTTAATTAACTGAAGAAAGTTGCATATCATGTCATAGTGACTGTACACGATTCATTTTATGCTACTTCTACACAACTAGTTAAAGGAGCATTAAGACAAACTTGAAATGGCTTTCCCAGTCTTCCATTGAACATCCACATTGCCATTCCCAAAGCAGAAAACATATGATCATTCAGTAAACTGTCTCCCATCATGTCAATAATGAATGGTACACAAAACTAAGCTCAACTATAATAATTCAAGAACATACCAGGTCCAGGTGTTATACAGAAATCCGGCCAGTCTGGAGTGGGGAACCTGCATTCAAACAAGAGGCATACAAAACGTTGTGGTGAAGACAAGGAAGCCACTTCATTTGTGGGACATCAATAGCAGATAATTTGCTCTTGGGCTCAGTGACTGTCGTAAGTCCCCTTTCCACCCACACAGGTAGGAAGATTAAGAAAGACACTGTCCCACATTCTGGAAGCAAGAGACTACTTACTCAGGGAACCACCCCTTGGCAAGATCTCATTTCTTTTTTTTTTTTTTTTCCCCTGCACTTCAATAATTTTTAAGCCTTTAGAAATCTGAGTTCTGAAGAAACAGCTCTTTTCTCCTTGATTTTGCATTAAGTTTTGATAGGGAACAGACCAATCTGAGAGCAGTACTTTTATTAGCAAATTGAAGACGATCAGGTTCCTGTACTGGAAGATATTAGACACCACAGGATTTTTTGGCATTTGAGCAGACTGAAGGCATCGTTTTAATTTTGTGTTTGTTTCTCACTACCCAACCTATTTTAATTGATACTAAAGTAATCCTCCATAAGTCTGTTTTGCCCATGATGGACTGGTAAGTGGTCTCCCTGTCTTTATCTTGACCCACAAGTTTCTCCATCATATTTTCTCCCCCTGTCCTGTTGAGGAGGAGGAGGAGTGAGAGCGCAGCCAAGTGGGTGTCTGGCAGCCGGCCAAGGTCAACCCACCAGAGGATGCAACAGAAAAAACAGCCTGCAGGAAAAGAGGTCCATGCCCCCCTTGTGTGAGTTGTCTCATCCTCTCGTTCGATGTACAGATAAGATTATCACTATACTTGCACCCACAATCATCACCACCTTCAGAGACTACTGCTAGTTTTTTTGGCAGCAGTGACCAGCATCCAACATTCAAGCTGCTTCTTGTATCTCTGATCGTCTTAGGAGTTAGCTTCTCGTGGTAATTGCTTGTTTTCAGCATCTCTAGTTTCCCCTGCTTGACCCCAGCTTATGCTGAAATAATTACAGAGCCCTCTAATACCTGGACACTGCCTAATAATTCAGCTGATTTAGATTTGCATATTCATTATTTATCAGGCACCCAGAGAGAAAGGAAGAGCCAATCACTTCATTGAGTCTTCTCTTGACAGTTGGAATTACTTCTCTTCCTTTACTGCCTGCATAAAAATACTGCTTTGGACTATTTTATTATAATTCTGTTTCATCACAAATCATTGCTAGGTTTCCACATGGTTTGTGAAATAAGTAATTTCACAAGCAGAGAAACCAACAGACCAGGACACAAAGCAAACCTGTAACAGGTCAGGAGGTTCAGATTTTAGCTCCATCTCAGCTCTCCCTTCCAACAAATGATCACTGATGAATTTTGCCAGGAAATACCCTAACTTATGGCTCCAGGACTTTTGTGTTTAGGTTTGGGTTTTCTCTGGTTTCAATTTTGATTTTTGATGGTTAAATTGATTTTTTCAAGTTGTGTCATAGTTTTTTGATAGTTCTTGATTTTTTTAATAAAGTTTCATTCATTTATATATTTGAAAGCAAAAAAAACCCTTCTACTTTTCTAATGGATCATCTTTCCCATCATCCCCTCCATCTTTATTAAATTATTTTGTACTTTGTAGAGAAATGAGCTAGCACTCATGGAAGTCAGTACTTCTGATAACTTCAGTGAGCTCTGGAGGAAGTCCTAAAGACTTCCAGGCAGAGCTAATATTCTGGCTGGAACAGCTCCCAAAGCAGGCATGTTTTAACAAGTCCACCTGTTATTAAGCTGAATTATGAAATTAAAAGTACACAGAACTGGAAGGCCCCATACAGGTTTCTAACTTTAGTCAGCAAGGTAAACAAACACAGGCAGATGCAAAATCCTGCTAGAATTTCATAATATTTAAAAGGAAGGAATCCGGCCCTGCTGAAAACAATCATCAGTTGTCTTTGACCACAGGACAGTGTGATGTGCAGCTGCAGGGCTTCAAAATGGCATGAGGATTCCAGCAGCACACATGACCCCCGATGTGGTGTATTGGATGTCCATGTCCAGGTGTTGGCAGCAGGGGTGGCCTCTGTGAGAAGAGGCCAGAGCAGCTAGGTAGGCATCTGCTAGCCAGCCAAGGTCAACCACCACTTGTGGACAAAGAGCAGTTGATCCTCTTCTAAGAGGGCCTGGCCATTATCCCCAGAGCCCAGCACACCTGCCCCCCAGGACAGCTGGGGCTCTGGGTAGTTCCCTTCCCTTTCTGCTGTTTTTCCCAGCACAAATGTCACAAGGATAACCCTTCCATATCAAGGGCTACAACACATAGCTTGAGCTTTCCATCACAGGGATGTCCCAACTCACTATAGAAATACAGTATATGCCTCTACAGGCCCCATTTGCCTGTATTCATGGTATCATTGTTGTGAGAGAAGGTAGAAGGAAAAAGCTTTTCTCCCAGAAAAACACCTTCCCCTTCACCCTGGAAGGTGTGATACCAAACACAGCAGACAGTTCAGTCTGGCCCTTTTCTGAGGGCTTCAGTTTTACTGCATCAGTGAAAAGCTAATCCAACAAGCCTCTCTTACAACATCTGTTCCAGCTTGATCTCTTCTGAAAGGGGCTTATCTCTTCACCATGGTACAGCCTATATGAGACTCTGTTTCTTCCTCTTCTTCTCCAGAGTCCAGCCCAGGCAAGCAAGGGAGGGTACAGGTATCCCCAGTGCCACACTACAGTCAGGACTCTGTGAGCTCTGAGAGAATGCCTAGAGGGGAGGCTGGACAAATTAATAGGCTATAACTATACCCTGAGTTACTAAATGCAAAGATGCCACTTCTGAGGCCGAGGAAGTCCTTGAGCTTAAATGGTGGAGACTGGTGGAACATCTGCAGGAATTACCACCACGTGCTTGCCATACTCATACCGCTGCTGGAGATAGGATCCTGAGATGGGTGGCCTTGTTAAGCCGTTCTTCGCTTCTTATGTGTCATCACTGTCGAACAAAATCTGTTCCAAATTTTGTTGAATCCACATAAAAGTCACAAGAAAGCTGTCTTCTACAAGCCAAGCCCTTTGTAATAGTCTTCCTTTCTTCTAGCTATCAGCTACATGACTATTATGTCAATTTTCAATGTCACATTCATGTAATTTGCTTTGAAGGAGAAATTAATAAAACAAGTCCAGTTGTCTCTCCTGGTGATTATTTTTCGCAAAGAAAATGTGCCTTTCTAACACAGTGTTTTTGTATAGATCAAATGCCAGCATTCTTTGAGGTTTTGAAAAACATTTGGGAAAAATATTACAGCAGAGAAGTCACCTCTGCTAGCTACATGCCAGCTTTCTTTTTGTTTTCCAGGTCAGTATTGAATGATTCAGGAGGAATAGCTTCAGACAGCATTTAATTTACCTCTTTGACTGCATAATAAAAATGTGACATCCAGGAATGATGGGTAGAAATTATTGTTGGTCTAGCTAAATTGATGATTCTAACTGTCTTTTCTCTGTACCATTGTCCTATGACACAGATCAACATCAGAAAATTTAGAATTTTTCTCATGTGACAAAGGTAATTTTGTCAAAATGATATCTTTTTGGTTTTTATCTACTAATAGAACATGCACGGTCATAACAAAACATTACAGAAGAGAGAACGAAAGTGTTATTTTTACCTTTTTTTTACCAATTTCTCATTTCTCTCTTACTATTTCCTAACTTTTCATAAAATTTAGTAACTCAGATTGCCCAGTGAGAAGATGTAGCATCTTTTATTGATTGCAAAAGAATCCAGCACATTGAATGTTTTCAGGCTTCTGGAATCATTGAGATGACCATAAACATGCTCAGACTTAACAGTACATTAACATAGCGCTTCTAATGACTTTATATAATTTTTTTCCCTTTTTTGTACAAACTTCATAATTATTCCAAAGATACCTGGAAAAGGAAGGATGTTAAGAAAGTTACCTTATCTCTTTTAAGATGCTGTCTGCATCTTAGGTTATGAGTTTGAAAAGTTGCATTCATTGCCATGACACCAAATACAATTTTGTAATAAGTTTGGACAAGGCCGTATCTTGCTTAGTAACTCCATCAGCTGTCCATGGCTAAAACAAACATGAGTTAGTGTTACTCAACATAATTCTCACAGGCATAAGCTGACATTAGAGGGAAGATAAGCCTTAACCCATACATTCTCATTTGTGATGCCACATCTGAACAAAGTGATGTATTTTGACAAGACTTTTCAAGACCATTTATTCAGTGACTTATACTTTCTTAGTTCTGTACATTTCTGGATGGTTTTCACAAGAGAAAAAATGACAAGACACTGTTCAGCCTTCTTAAGAAGTAGCATGAATACGATATACTTATTGAAGAGCCTTTAGAGAGACCAGTATTTTCAATATATAGTTTCCTATCAAATAAGTTATTTATCCTTCCCATTTATCTCTGTTGTGGTATCCTTTCTTTGCCAACAATAGTTAATCTGAAGGCAGTTTGCACTGGTCTTTCTAATAGCCAGATAGAGTAATAACCACTACAGCCTCACCTCAGACCCTTAACACAGATAGCTATTAACAAATGACAGTAATAACAAGTAGTATTATTATTGTTGCCAAACATAAGGATCCTTTTTATATGTAGTTTAATTACCTCCTTCTGCTATGATATCTTACTAGGTTACACATATTATGAAGTAAAAGGTTATAAAAATGATAAATATCAGAGCAGGAAAAGCTGTAACAGCATTAAATCAACCCATGGCTATTCTGTTTGAGGAACTGACAGAGCTGGACCCTTGGGATCATCAAATCTGTTGTTTGTTGTAAGCTGCATGATCATATGGATTCCATAGGTCAAGATCCACAGTAAAACTAGAGATGTCACCAAGCCCATCCAGATTCCAGGAGTGAAGAAGCCTGTACAGTCACTTGCATAGGAAAACTGGTTGTTTTCAATGTTGAAGCCTTGAATCTGAGAATGAAGAAAGGTAGATAGATGAGTGCAATTAAACATGGAGTGTAGGCCCTACTTTCAGAATGTATGCGGTAATTACAAAAAACGTTAATTACCACTCACACTCTGGGCATTAAAAAAGAGTGAGAACCAAATCCTCTGCATAACAATTTTGCAGGTTCCTGTTTCACCCAGGAAATTAAAGATGCAGGATGTATTTTTTTGGCAAGAGGTAAGTTTCCTACTTCAGGAATTGGTGTTACTTTTAGAAGTCAGGTCCCAAAGGGGATGTGTGATCAGTATTGTTCAATGACCACTTAAGAATCAGAAAACTGAAAGCACTCAAAGGTGTAAGAATTAAGGCCCCCCCAAAGTCATGTTGAAATACTCTGAGATTTTTAGCTAATAACTCTTTGACAAGCAGAACTCCTGAAACCTACTTTAAAATGCATCTAATGGAGATGACATTTTTGGCTGAGTTTTAGTACAAGTTCAAGGAGAAAACAGTTGTGAAACTTTTCTTCCCCCCTCCTTAGACATCAGAGACTCAAGACAGGAGAGAGGGTTTGCTTTATTGAGGTGTGGGATCTGTGTCGTTTATTAACATATGAAACCCATATATGCTTTTCCAGCAGCTAGAAAAATCTGTAGCGTCTCTCCTTCAGGAGACTGGATTCTTCAAGTCTGCCACTGACTGAGCTCCTACCATATTATTTTCCTCAGAAAAATCAACTACTTTGGGGATCTATTCTCTGCCTAGCCACCAATTTTGCAAAAAGTATCAGCAAACTGAATGCTTTTGAGAACACTATCCTTCTAAAAGTGTTGTTTAAACCGGACAAAGGATTAGGAAACTAAGAAGAAAGGGAAGACAATCCCCCCTCTGCACATATGCACATGACATAAGCACTGATTCCTTCAGAAGGAAGGGAATTTAACTGGTGGAAGAAAATGGAGGACGGAAAGAATTAATCTGATCTGTGTTTTTGAGTCTTTCTTAAATAATTTTATAAGGAAAATAAAGACTAGGATTCTTATGTATTTACAGATTTTTTACAGAATCACAGAATCACTAGGTTGGAAGGGATCGTCAAGATTATCAAGTCCAACCGTTAGCCCAATTCCACCATGTCCCCTAAACCATGTCCTGAAGCACCACATCCACACATTTTTTTAAACACTTCCAGAGATGGCGACTCCACCACCTCCCTGGGCAGCCTGTTCCAATGCTTGATCACTGTCTCGGTGAAGAAATTTTTCCTAATATCCAATCTAAACCTCCCCTGGCGCAACTTGAGGCCATTTCCTCTCGTCCTATCACTAGTTACTTGGGAGAAGAGACACTTCACCACAACGTCCTTTTGAGTAGTTGTGGAGTGCGATAAGGTCTCCCCTCAGCCTCCTCTTCTCCAGACTAAACAACCCCAGTTCCCTCAGCCGCTCCTCAGAAGACTTGTGCTCCAGACCCCTCACCAGCTTCGTTGCCCTTCTCTGGACACGCTCCAGCACCTCAATGTCCTTCTTGTAGTGAGGGGCCCAAAACTGAACACAGGATTCAAGGTGCGGCCTCACCAGTGCCGAGTACAGGGACACGATCACTTCCCTACTCCTGCTGGCCACACTATTCCTGATACAGGCCAGGATGCTGTTGGCCTGGACGTGAGTGTGTAAGGAAAGCACCAAACATCATAAATCCACCAGTAAAAACCAAGACCTTAAAACTGACTATTTTCTATAAAACATTACAATATAAAATAAAAAGTATTATTTTATTTAAATCACTCCCCTCACCAGGCAATAAGCAAGGAAGTGGAAGATCATGGGTTTCTAGTTTTCTGTGTTCCCGTTCCATGATTACTCTATGCTTTATGATAAACTAAATGGAAAGCTTTGTGGTAATAAAAGAGTTTATATTTTCTAGGAAAGGTGTTGGTACAAACATTGAAAAAATTAGTCTGTGGTTTGCATACAATGCTACAGTAGTGAGCACTCTGGGTTTGAGTTCATTCATGACTCAGGCATGTAAAGTTAATGCCTATGTAATATATGTTTTAAGACCAATGTCTATACTTCCCACAATGATGATTAATAAAACAATTCTCATATGCAGAACTAAGGGCTATTTAGGCACTGTGGAGGTGGAGACAATTTTAGCAATTCAAGCTCTTCTGTGTCTCTTAGAAGAAACTTTCCAAGTCCGATCATGGCAGCTAACTTGCAAATACTGCCTGCTTTCACTACAGGCAGAGTTCTGATTAAAGCAAGATTAGTGAAAATAAGCTTTTGGGTTGGATAACTGTTTGCGCTTGTTAAGCCACTGTTTTGACAACAGATGAGAATGTGACTAAGAGTCATGAAATATAGTCTGAAAGTTATTTACAATAAAAACAGAAAGCAGGTCATGATTTTTGTCATTTATGTTCAGAAAATGGATTCAAATTCTGGAAAAAAACCCACACACTGCCACATTCACAAGAACTCTCTGAAACACTTAACAGGTATATTTGGTTTAGAAAGGCTTTACCATTTTTTCTTTAGAGCCAGAAATATTGAATTTTATTATGTCAATCCTACTGGGTTTTTTCTGAAGCAGGATTATGCTTATTGAACCTTTGAGGTGACAGCTTTAATTGTACATTCTTAAAATGCTATGTCTACTTTTAGGCGAGAGATGAAATATATGCAGTGTTCTTTTATTGTTTTTCTGAATCTTTATCATTTCTCTGGGGGTGTTAGATCCCAGGTGCAAGATAAAAATATCTTCCTACCAACATTTCTACCTATAGAAAAGTTAAAAATACTTACATGTGTTTCTTTAATTTTTATGAATGTAAAAGCCTTTTGGATACAGGCATGTGCTGCGGAAGTTTTAATTTTAGTGTTTGGACCAGCATAATTTGTCTTGGTTATACTAGACTGCATTTACTGTTAATTTTTAAAGTATTTTTTTGAATGGATTTTTCCCATCTTTTGACCTTTGAGAAAGCCTTCAAGTGAAATCTGTTGTTTTCATGGAACTTAAGTGTAAAATGAACATCTAATTTTGATCTTAGAAATATTTTAGCCACAAAGTATCCTAATATTCTTAGTTTTAAAGTTTTTGGCAGTTTTTCTTAGGAGCAAAGGGGCTTCTAAACCACTATGACACATACTAAAGAAAAGCAGTGCTTTTGGTGGCAGTCACCTGTTTAACTTCATAGACAATTCTGAGATGCTCAAGAGGATAAAAGGTATCATGGTAGAAGAAGCATTCCTGTAACAACAACAACAACAAAGCCAAGAAAAAACCCCACCAAAACCAGAGCAGATTTTGGTACTGTGTACAGTTATCAGTGATGACATCCTAGGCTATGGGCATGCCTAGACAGCATCCCACAGAGGTTCTTTAGGTGGTAGTGACTGAGCTAGCTCCAGAACTGAAGTAAAAGGCTGCATGAGTTCAGCCTTGCCTTGGAACAACCTGTGAAAGGGTTCACTGTGTAAGTGCTGTGTCCATCTAATACAATGATACTGTTTTCAGGACCCAAGGAGGCAAAGTGCCATTGTACCACCTAGACTGTCATTGGATCCTGGTTTCTAATTCATTACACACTACATAACACTGACGTGAAAATCACATTCCTCAGTTTGAGCAATAAGATTTTGTGCAGGCTGCAACCACTGGGCACATTCCATGTGCTTTCTTCACTGTGCAACAGAGCTTGGGGGTTTCTAAACCTTGTTCTAGAACAAAGACTGATATTGAGATCCATCAGATTTCACTACATATCGCTGAAAGATATCTGGAAAGGTATGATCTAGTTCAGCTAGAACTTAGAAACAAGCCCAGAATGGTGACTTTCTGTTTTCTCACACACCAGAAAAGATCAGAACAGGACTTTTCAGGTTGTGTTCCGTGCTTAGGATTTGGTCGGAGAAAAAGGCCTTTCCCAACAGGAACTGGAAGTTCTCTTGTCTGAACAGTGGAAGCAGCAACTGCTCCAAATCAGTAAGGAAGGTGGGAAACCTACTACTTCTACTCTTGATCAAGACCCCAGTGAAAGGAAGCCTGCTAAGGATGGAGCAAGGCCTCCCTCTAAGCTTTGAGAAGGCAGCAGTATCAATGTATATAGAAATTCAAGTAAAAGATATGTTGTAAGTGGATGCTTTGTATTTTCATAGCCCATGTACTTTCATAGCCTAGTGATGCCAAAGTCTAACTTCAATGAGTAGACTAGGCAAAGTACAGTTGTGTGGACTCAGCTATTTTCAGGCCTTTCCATAAAAATACCATCAGGATGAACCTTCACAACATTGGTGTGTATTGCTACATTGCTTCTCAAAAAACTGTGAGACTTGATCCTGGAATTTGTGGAAAATAAATCTCAGCACCAATGCTGTTCCTTTGAGATTTCTATTGTTTAAGCAGAAATGTCAAATCTAGACTCAGATTATTGAGATTTCGTTTGTTATTAAAATAATAAATACAATTATATCAACATTTGTATCCAGATATCATGAGGTTAGCTCATCTTTGACAAATAAAGTCCAGTTTGGAATTATTCCTATCATTTCCATGATCTCTTTAATTAAAGAGATCCCTTAGTGCAATATTGTTTTAAGATATAAACATTGATGTGCTTCTCCTAAGTCAAGATCAATGCTCAAAATAATAAAGATGGAATCATCTACACCTCACATATGTTGCCTGTACTACTACGCTAAATACACAGAAAATCTATGCCTCATTCAAAAAGAAAGCCAACTGCTTTCCTTCTGGGCCATGCGGGACCTAATATTGCTCACAGCTGAAGTCCATGGCAAACCTTCCATTAAATCTAATTGCACTGGGCTTTGTTTCTGTCTGTAGGAGTTCAGACAGTCTATGTCACTGAGAACAGTAGCCACACTAAGCTGTACTTTCCTAGGTAAACAAAGTGCAAAGAAATCGAATAAAAACAAAGCAGCATAAAGCCACCCACCTAAGAGGCCCATGTTTCCAATAGCAGCCCAATTCATTAAACAGGCATGGGGACTTAGTCATTCTTTGCCGGATTAAGCGCATTTAGTTTTATTGGTTTTTCTTTTCTGTGGACAACTTCATAGTTTTTTGTTTTTCAAAGCTCAGCTTTCATGTTCTTATTGTTCAGCATCTTTTTTACCCCTCTATTGAACAGCTCACGTAGCGGGAACAGCTTTTCTTTCACGTTTTCCCTCAGGCTGAAATGGAAGTAAGGGCATTATGAATGCGTGTTGTTCAGCACCTACAATAGCAAGTAACAGTTCTTGGAATTATCTCTGAAATGGCAGTGTGTACTCACTTGCAACCTGGAAATGAAAACATCCCAGTGTTTTGCCTCATTGTTGGATGGAATCAGCCTTGCAGGATAGAGATTGCTTGTTCCCACCAGCTGACAGTGAAATGAATACTCTGCAGGAGCAGAGATGACAGAAACATTAAATTTAGCAAAATTTTCTCCATCTTGTATGATCTCAACTGAATCTAAAGTGGACCAATTTCTAGCCGAGTCTCCATAGAACTTGTTGGTCATTAAAAACCTAGAAAGACAACAGAGGAAGAAAAAAAGGACAAAATGACAGAAGGAAAAAGTTAATATTCATTTGATGAAGTACTGGTGGCAGATAAAGGTTCACTACTGCTAGCTGCAAACATCACAGTTGGTATCTTAGCTTGGCCTCCCATGTCATTACAATTGTTCGTAAGTGAAGACATTTTGTGAATACGTTTTTACTACTTCTTAGAGTTTCATCTCACACGCACAGCTTTCCATATCTGTGGCAGGCAAGGAGCAAATGTGATTTCATTCTTTAAGGGCCTCCCCCAGTGCAGTATTTCATCAGTTACCAACAGTTTGTAATCAGTGGAGCAGAACCCGAGAGACTGCCAGTAGGCCTGCAGTGGCTCTCAATAAACATTTTATGGGCTTTTTAAAAGTTGTTTTTATGGTAGGTACACGCATGATAACCATTCTGATTTATCATTGCAATTCTTCCTCGTCTCAGATGCCTAAATGGCAATTTGCCTTTGCAAATGTCTGAATTTGCAGTCGAAGGCAGAGTTTTCTCTCACTGGAGGGTGGAGAGGGGTCGTCAGCCCTAGTTCCCTAATTTGTAGTAGGTTAGGCACAAATATGTATTTTCTCATTTTGAAAAGGTCTGTGTAGTTGCAGTATTTCAGCAGTTTCCAGTAGTTTATAATCACGGGATTTGTATACACGTTACTACCGCTGCAGTCTGAACACCTTCCAAATGTTCTGAAACAGAAATAATTGAGAAAATCAAAAAGTACCTCCTGATCCTTTACAGATCAGGACTACATCCTAATCTTTACCACTTTTTAGCCAGTTGCTTTTAGGTATTCAAGTTATATCATAAGGAAATAATAAACTTTTCTCCTTATTGTATGTTGCTTAATACTTGAACACTACATGGTCTATGTATGTATTGCTCTACTGTTTGCTGAAGCTTTTTTTGCTTATTGATAACCACAAAGAATTTAGAAGAGCAATCTCTTTAGTAATGTGGGACTTCCTACAAAATGAAATGTGCTAATACGTCTATGCACAATGGGTAACACTGTATGTGGATTTTAAAATTTGGGGTAATGTTTAGATGCAATTCTGAAAAGTTTGAAAAATAAGCAGTCATCAATAAATGTGGCACTGTATAGAATATCTAATGTTCTATGGGGTGTATATATATACATACAGAGACAATATTCTTTGTTGTAGAATATTGCTTGTTTGTTCAAATCAGTAGCACGTCATCCGCACAACATAGTGTCTAAGCTCAACACAAACAATGTTCCTTAAGAGTAACACACAAAATTTGACAGGTTAGGTTACTACAGTAATTGAGGACCCACCCACCCCTTTTTTTTTTTAATAATCTGTGGATTTTGATTCATATAACTTAAAATTTTCAAGAGTTTCAAAGTGTTCAGAAGGAATCCTAGAACTCAAAGTGTCATTCAAGTGAGAAAAGGATGTTTTGTCTAATGGCTTTCCTTATATTTTGAGTCTAAACAGTTCTTCCCATACAACATTCAGCTGCAAGCATCAGTGAAAAAGAAAAACACATCTTAATTTCATCTAGTACACATTCACAAATATTTATGGAAAAATATTCTATTGTTATAATGATAAAGTTACAGAGTTAAAACATGTATTAGCCTAGATATTAATTGCTAGAAGAAAGGAATCTTTTCCTGATATATAGCACAATCTGAATAGAATTTCCATGGTGTCTCAGCAGCAATGCTATAAGCATTAGCTGAAGACCAGTTATAAGCACAGAGAGGTTTACTCAAATGTTTGTACCAACCACAGATACTGGGTGTGCTCTGTACTTTTGCTGAGAAGATAAGAGAAGTGGTACATAAGGAAATTCTTTGGGGACTTAATATATAAACAAATAAGTCTTATAAGGCTATGTATGTGAATACAGATGTGAATACAGTCTAAAGTGACCTCCAAGAGAACTCTGTCTCTTCACATTGCACCAAAAACTAAAATTTTATGTTACTTGCAGATTTATGAGAATTAAGATTCTAATTAGTGAACCAGTTGAGCACAGTTAGCTTAACAATACAGGCTTTTATACTTAGTATTTTTCCAACTAACTGATAGTGAATAGCCTCCAATAAGCATGGACTTAACTGATAACTGATACAACTATAATTCATTTAATTACAAAAAAGATATTCAAACAACAAAAATAAATAGAATTACTTAATTTAGTTTAATGTTTTCTCAGATGAGTAGATAGCAAACAGAATGAGCAGAATACAGCAGATGAATGACAAGGAGAGGAGAGATAACAAAGATTTTATCTGCTGATCAGAAAGTACCTTGGCTTTTACAGAAAATGCTGTGTTCATATTAAACATTAGAGCCAGTACAGGAAGTAAACTTTCACACAGACATTATGTAGTTTATATATCGTGGCACAAAAAATTCTTGGTCATAGGCCAGACACTCTTTGTGCCAGATAACGATATGAAATCTAAATGCCACCACCTGTTACAAATCACCATCTCGTGTGGCTATTCACAGAATCACAGAATCACTAAGGTCGGAAAGGACCTTCAAGATCATCAAGTCCAACCATTAATCCAGCGCCACCATGTCCTCTAAACCATGTCTTGAAGCACCACATCCACACGTTTCTTGAACACTTCCAGAGATGGCGACTCCACCACCTCCCTGGGCAGCCTGTTCCAATGCTTGACCACCCTCTCGGTGAAGAAATTTTTCCTAATATCCAATCTAAACCTCCCCTGGCACAACTTGAGGCCATTTCCTCTTGTCCTATCACTGGTTACTTGGGAGAAGAGACCAGCGCCCTCGTCACCACAACGCCCTTTTGGGTAGTTGTAGAGAGCGATAAGTAGACATAAGCGATAAGTAGAGAGCGATTCATTACTATCTCCATTACAAGGAGAGAGATTTCTGAAAAGAAAGCTAGCTGGAATTACTGCTGTTTGAAAGATTCAAAGAGAAGCACAACTGTTAGGTGAAAGACTTTAAAACACTGTTCTTGGGTCAATTCTATTCTATACGCACTATGAGCAACAACAACGGTCAAGTACTTATCAGTGTAAATGGGGAAAATACTAATGCTCTGCACTTCCATCCACTTTGACACCTTTTCCCAGAGAAGATGACAGACAGGTGCTTGAGCAGCTGGATGTCATCAGCTGCTGAGAGAGCTGAGATGATGCTTCTTCCAGCAAAAGCTACTGCCCACTGCTCCTACCCCTGCTGCAGCAGTAGTTCACTTTTCTAGAACTAGCACAACCAGAAACTCTACAACCACTCCCTACCAGCTCACTTCTTAGTGGCAAGTGCAGGAGGATGAATAGGACTGCTGCTTTTGCTAGAGGGAGGAACAGGGGATGGCATAGGATGAAGCAGCTATTGCAGCTGCTGGTAGGAGATGGGATATGACTAGCTGCTCAGCACAAGGTGGTAGACTAGTGGTGACAAGGCAGGCTCTGGATCCAGCTCACGGTGGTGAGGTTAGTCTCTTTCACTGAGGAATAAATTGAGCTATCTGAATGTGTTCCTCTCTGGTGTCACTTCCTACCTTCAAGAGTGCTCTCCTACACCTAAGTAAATGGCCTTTACAGGGCAAAAAAATGCAGTCATGGCTCTAACCTCTGTTCCTTCCCACCTCTTTGCCCTGCTTGTGTCCTGTTTATTGAGGCAGACTGTAATCTTACCATTGAGTCATCTCGAACAAGAAATGTAATCAAATAGAACCAAAAGTGGAAAACAGAGGTTGTAATGTATCTCTGTGGATTTTAGAAGCTGTTTAGAATAGACATGCTGAGAGAAACTAGGTGAATACAGGGTTCCTGAATCAGGAAAAAATCAATGGACTGTTCTGTTTCTGTTGGGTATATCTTATTAATTACATTATGTGCCATGCAGTATTGTATTATGGTAGCTAATAGAGGCCTGAAATGACACGATTGTCTCCTAAATCAAGAGATAATCCAACATAAAACAGCACAAATAACCAACTGTGTTTTCAGCAGAAAATTTTCTTTATAGAATCGCAGAATCACAAAATCATTAAGGTTGGAAAAGATCTTTAAGATCATCAAGTCCAACTGTTAACCTAACACCGCCATGCCCACTAAACCATATCCTAAATTGCCACATCCACATGTTTTTTGAACACT